TTCCATGGATGTAGCGTACCTGGATTTCAGTAAGGCCTTCGACAAGGTCCCCCATGACCTTCTGGCAAACAAACTAGTCCAATGTGGGCTAGGCAAAACTACGGTGAGGTGGATCTGTAATTGGTTAAATGGATGAACCCAAAAGGGTGCTCACCAATGCTCCCACTTCATCCTGGAAAGAAGTGACAAGTTCTGTCCTGGGCCCAATTCTGTTCAACATCTTTATTAATATCTTAGATGAAGACTTAGAGGAATGATCATCAAGTTTGCAGACGACACCAAATTGGGAGGGAGAGCCAATACTCCAGAGGACAGAAGCAGGATTCAAAACGATCTTGACAGATTAGAGAGATGATGGGCCAAAACTAACAAAATGAAGTTCAACAGTGACAAATGCAAGATACTCCACTTTGGCAGGAAAAACGAAATGCAAAGATACAGAATGGGGGACAATGCCTGGCTCGAGAGCAGTACGTGTGAAAAGATCTTGGAGTCCTCGTGGACAACAAGTTAAACATGAGCCAACAATGTGATGTGGCGGCAAAAAAAGCCAATGGGATTTTGGCCTGCATCAATAGGAGCATAGTGTCTAGATCTAGGGAAGTAATGCTACCCCTCTATTCTACCTTGGTTAGACCACACCTGGAATATTGTTTCCAATTCCGGGCACCACAATTGAAGAGAGATATTGACAAGCTGGAATGTGTTCAGAGGAGGGTAACTAAAACGATCAAGGGTCTGGAGAACAAGCCCTATGAGGAGCGGCTTAAGGAGCTTGGCATGTTTAGCCTGAAGAAAAGAAGGCTGAGAGGAGATATCATAGCCATGTATAAATATGTGAGAGGAAGCCACAGGGAGGAGGGAGCGAACTTGTTTTCTGCTTCTATGGAGACTAGGACACGAAACAATGGCTTCAAACTACAAGAAAGGAGATTCCATCTGAACATGAGGAAGAACTTCTTGACTGTGAGAGCTGTTCAGCAGTGGAACTCTCTGCCCCGGAGTGTGGTGGAGGCTCCTTCTTTGGAAGCTTTTAAACAGAGGCTGGATGGCCATCTGTCAGGGGTGATTTGAATGCAATATTCCTGCTTCTTGGCAGGGGGTTGGACTGGATGGCCCATGAAGTCTCTTCCAACTCTTTGATTCTATGATTCTAAGAGAATCTTCTAACATGCAACATCCCTTTAGCTACAATTCTATGACTATCTAGATGTTTTGTTTTATGCCAAAGAAGAAATGTAAATTAAAGAGTAACTTCTGAATGAAGGTTGAAAACAACAGCCAATGTAGTAAGTCATGCCTTATTCTGGATGTACAGTGAAACAAAGATAGAGCCTAAACACCAAAGACATGGGGGGCGAGGGTGTGAAATCCCAGTGACTAAAGTCCAGTGAACTTTCCTTTCAGAAAGAGCAGCACCTGATTTCCCAGATGACCAAATCACTGTGAATAAGCTGATGGGTCATTGCTTGAGAAATGAGAAGGCAGAATGCCAACCAAAGCCATCATGGGCATTCATCGAAGCAAAGAGTTTGAAAAGGCTATGCAGAACAAATTAGGTTGTGGCCTCTGAAATGTAAATGTTGCACATTTACCTGCCACAGCTGAATGAAAGGACACAAGCTCGACTTCATTTTCCACCTACTTGCTTTAAAGGCCACACTTTAAGAAAACTTTTCCCCTCCTCCTTGGTGACTTTCCAGGACTATCCTTTACCCTTTAAAGTAACTAAAACAATATGTGTCAGACAGTGCTGGATTTTTTGTGACTGAAATGAGATTGAGAATTTTTAAAAGAAAACCTGACTGATGGAAAATTGACATTCATTAGCCAAAGTGTTGTGTCTCTCATGATGAGACTATAGTTGAGCACTGTAAACAAGACAAAACAAGACAAATATTTAAAGTAAAGGGGGGGGGACCACAACTTTTTCGTCACTGCTAATTTACTTACTTACTTACTTACTTACTTACTTAGGCGATCCCTCGTTTTCCGAGGAGGATTGTCTTCCAGTATTCTTGTGGGTCCGTATGTGGCTGTGGAGCCCTATTCTTGCTCTGCATCTTCTTCCGCAGTGAGGGCATTGGTTTCCAGGTGGAAGGCGGTTTCGGTTGGGGTTGGCTTGATGCACCTTCCTCTTGGCACACTTCTCCCTTTCGCCCTCCATTCATGCCTCTTAAATTCTGCAGCACTGCTGGTCACAGCTGACATCCAGCTGGAGCGCTCAAGGGCCAGGGCTTCCCAGTTCTCAGTGTCTATGCCAGAGTTTTTAAGGTTGGCTTTGAGCCCATCTTTAAATCTCTTTTCCTGTCCACCAACATTCATTTTCCGTTCTTGAGTTTGGAGTAGAGCAACTGCTTTGGGAGACGGTAGTCGGGCATTCGGACAACGTGGCCGGTCCAGTGGAGTTGATGGCGGAGGACCATCGCTTCAGTGCTGGTGGTCTTTGCTTCTTCCAGCACGCTGACGTTTGTCCGCCTCTCTTCCCAAGAGATTTGCAGGATTTTCCGGAGGCAGCACTGATGGAATCGTTCCAGGAGTTGCGTGTGACGTCTGTAGACAGTCCACGTCTCACAGGCATATAGCAGGGTTGGGAGGACAATAGCTCTATAAATGAGCACCTTGGTATCCCTACGGATGTCACGGTCCTCAAAAACTCTCTGCTTCATTCGGAAAAATGCTGCGCTCGCAGAGCTCAGGCGGTGTTGTATTTTGGTGTTGAAATACTAATGCTAAATAGGCTTGGCATGGGTCAAGGACTCAGTTACTAAAGGATCATACTTGTGACTGATGGCAACTCCATCCTGCCTGATTATGAGAGTGACAGATGAAGTACACTAGAGTAGGATTCTCAAACTTTTTCATCCACAGAGCCCTTTATGAAGCAAACAATTCTCATGGAGCTCCAAGAAATGTTATTATATATAACGCATATATATCAGGCATGGTCAAATTTTTTGATGCAAAGCAATTCTCTCCTTTGGGAGAGATAAAGCGGGATATAAATAAACATAATAACAACAGATATCCACCCAGCATTTCTAATAATAATTATAGGAGCAAACCCAGGCGCCATCCAGTCTAACTACCTTCTACCATGCAGGAAAAGCACAATCAAAGCACTCCCTACAGATGGCCACCTAATCTTTGTAATTAAGGCTTTGGGAGAGCTAAAGCAGGGCATAAATAAACATAATATTAATAGATGGTTATCCAGCCTTTGTAATAATAATAATAATAATAATAATAATAATAATAATAATAGGAGCAAACTCAGGAGCCATCCAGTCCAACCACCTTCTGCCATGTAGGAAAAGCCTAATCAAAGCACTCCCAACAGATGGCCACCTGGCCTTTGTAATAATAATAATAATAATAATAATAATAATAATAATAATAGAAACCCCAGGGGCAATCCAGTTCAACTCCCTTCTATCATGCAAGAAAAGCACATTCAAAGCACCCCTTGAGCAGTGGGAGGGAAATAGGGTTTTGGAAGCAAGGAAAATGAGGGGAAAAAGATCTGTGAGGTGGGTGGAGGGAGGCTTTTGGGGTGAGGGAGGGGTTAGGGAGAGAAGCTGGAAAGAAGAGGGAAAATTTGGAGTGTAGAAGGAGGAGGGAGGAGGAGAGAGAACCGTGGAGTCCCTCATTACAAATTACTGATCCCCAAGGGCTCCAGGGAGCACACTTTGAGAACCACTACTCTAGAGAAAGATTGGGAAAGGCGTATGGCAAGGCTGCATACTCTCACCTAACCTTTTTAACTTGTATGCAGAACACATCATGCGATGTGCGGGGCTTGATGAATGCAAAGCTGGGGTGAAAATTGCTGGAAGAAACATTAACAACCTCAGATATGCAGATGACACCACTCTGATGGCGAAAACGAGGAGGAGCTGAGGAGCCTTCTAATCAAGGTGAAAGAAGAAAGTGCAAAAGCTGGGTTGCAGCTAAACATCAAAAAAACCAAGATTATGGCAACAAGAATGATTGACAACTGGAAAATAGAGGGAGAAAACGTGGAGGCCGTGACAGACTTTATATTTCTAGGTGCAAAGATTACTGCAGATGCAGACTGTGGCCAGGAAATCAGAAGACGCTTACTTCTTGGGAGGAGAGCAATGTCCAGTCTCGATAAAATAGTAAAGAGTAGAGACATCAGACTGGCAACAAAGATCCGCCTAGTCAAAGCCATGGTATTCCCTGTAGTAACCTACGGATGTGAGAGCTGGACCTTAGGGAAGGCTGAGCGAAGGAAGATAGATGCTTTTGAACTGTGGTGTTGGAGGAAAGTTCTGAGAGTGCCTTGGACTGAGAGAAGATCCAACCAGTCCATCCTCCAGGAAATAAAGCCTGGCTGCTCATTGGAGGGAATGATATTAGAGGCAAAGATGAAGTACTTTGGCCACATCTCGCGTTTTACTTCATGGGTTGACAGACAAAGGAAGAGGGGCCGACCAAGGGCAAGATGGATGGATGGCATCCTTGAAGTGACTGGACTGACCTTGAAGGAGCTGGGGGTGGTGGCCGACAGGGAGCTCTGGCGTGGGCTGGTCCATGAGGTCACGAAGAGTCGGAGACAACTGAACGAATGAACACCACACCATACAAAGGCATATTCCTATGCAGGATTCCACTGTCACCTTGGGGTAGACTAGGTCACAACACTTATCAAACTAACCATGTCCCTTTATGCCTCACCCTAAGATCCATTATGGTGCTTCCAGCTAGGAATGATAAGCATGCAGGTCTATTTCCCTGAACTGGCTTAGGAAGTATGCCAAGATCACATGGAATAGTAGAGTTGGAAGAGACATTAAAGGTCAAACTTCCTGCCATGCAGGAATACACCATCAAAGCACTCCTGACCTGTGTCCACCCAACCTCTGTTTGTAGTACAAGGAAGCATAATTGTTGAAACAGTTTCAAGTGTTGCTAACAGAAGCAATCCATACAAGGAGGCAGAGCAGAGGAACAGAGTAGAAGTTGAAAGAACTTACAGTAAGGGCAGCCATACACCTCAATCCTTAGGCCAATTTGTCCCTCTTCACTCCAATCCAGAGGAAGTATTCGAACATAACGGGCAATAACTGGATGCTGTAAATCATGCCGCACAACACTGTCTGAATTTATGTTTCCGGGAAAGGCCTAGGAGAAAACACAACAAAACATTTTTAGTATTGAGGCCTTTTTGAAACTGGAGATCAAGTCTGTATGAGTAAGTATTCAGATGGAAACCCCATTCCACCCAGAAAGGCTTCTGCAGGATAGAGGGACATATTCCGCTTCTCTGATACTATGTTCTAGTGCTATCGTCAGCTGAATGAATAAATCTGGAATTGCTTCATATTCTGAATGTGCCTTAATAGTAGGAAGTTTTTGATTATTTGTTAGAATCATAGTGTTGGACGAGACCACAAGGGCCATCCAGTCCAACCCCCTCTCTGTAGTTTAAATCCATTGTTCTGTGTGTCCTAGTCTCTAGAGGAGCACACAACAAGCTTGCCTCCTTCTCAATATGACATCTTTTCAAATATTTAAACATGGATATTATGACAACCTCCTCTTCTTCAAGTTGGCTTCCAGGTCATTTACCATTCCTTTCACTGTCTCTGTACATCTTAGTTTAACTTGAGGAAAAGTTACATTAAGTGGCTTTAGCCCAGGTGAATGCATATAAGTTGTATGCAACGTTTAACTACTACAGGGTTCATTGCTTTGCACACTGACCCAAGTGGCAAGTGTAATTGTGCACTAGGATTTTCTAGGACAGTGATGGGCAACCTTTTGAGCTTGGTGTGTCAAAATTTTCCAAAAACCCGAGCATAACTTGGGTGGGGTGTCGACTTTGAGAACCCCCCCCCCCCATAATTTTGCAATATTTATAGTTTAAATAAGAAAAATGTATATTCCATGCTGAGTTATGGAGTGAACAATGGTCAAACATGCAGATGTTAAATTTGTATAGCCTTTTACAAATTTAAGGATGGAATTAGATTGGCTCTTATAAGGTGTACTTCTCTGTATGCGGCCGCATGTGGCCGCGTGTCAACAAAAATAGCCATGCGTGTCAGTGCTGACACGCATGTCATAGGTTCACCATCACGGTTCTAGGAGATCGGGAGGAGACACTTATTTGCTATTCTCTGTACTAACCCAGATGTCTCCTGAGATTTTGTGCCTGTATTTTTGAAACTCTGCTGATGAAAGTACAGATATTCAATGAAAACACATTAATAAACACTTAATAAAAGTCAGAAAGATTTGCATCAATTTTTGTAAAAAGACAGCTATAAATATTGTTTTTAAAAAAGTGTAGCACAGGTTAGTTTATCACAAGATTATCACATTGCAAAAGGCTATGACTATAATTACTTATTAAAGTTTCTAGCCTTTTCCCTACATTAGAGAACAATGCAGCGATTCTTTAACTAAAGGTGATGAGCTCATGTATTTTAAATCTCTCTTATCTACAGAAATAATGAAGGATATGTGCAGAAAGGATCGAATCGTAATATGCTTTTAAAAAAAGTATTTGGTTGGTCAAACATTCAGTCATGTCCTACATTATCTGCAGTGTTCAGCTGGTGTATACACACACATTTAGACAAAAAAAAAATCACCCCAGAACCCTGGGTTGACATTGATATATATATTTCAAGCTATGTCTGGTTGAATCTATGGATAAGGAGTACTTGGAATAGGGAAAGCCCCTATATACACACATACACACACACCAAAAAACAAACTTTGATTTGTCATTTTATATAAGGGACACCATTTCACTATACCATTATAGATAACATGGAGCTTGAGCAGCCACATATTTTTGGTATTGATAGAGGGTCCTGGATTATTACCATCGGATACCAGGGTCCTGGATACCAAGGGGACCACTATATTTTGCCTTAGAGGGTTGATGCTTTTGTACTTGGGCCTTACACAAGCTCTAATTTTTATTGCTGTGGTACAGTTGGCCATAATAATAACAACAACAACAACAACAACAACAACAACAACAACAACAACAACAGCAACACTTTATTTGTACCCTGCTACCATCTCCCCAAGGGACTCTGTGCGGCTTACATGAGGCCGAGCCCAAACTCAACAATACAAGCAATAAAATAACAATACAAGCAATTAAAAAAAAAAACATAGACAATAAAATACATAACATTATCAATAAGACAACACACAATTAAAAACAGTGGGAAGGCCAAATGTAGAGTTAAAATTGGAAATAATTTATTTAACCATTTGATATTTATTAACAGTTTGATTTGTATACGTATTTTATACTCTCAGTCTTCTTTTTGTCCAAACTAAATATGCCTGGGTCCCTAAGCCGTTCCTCATAGTGAAGTTGAATTTAGAGTATGGACCACCTAGTGAGCTCAACTAACCATCAATATTTCCGAACAGAGTAAGACCCATGAAGACAAGTGACAGAGGCACTTTATTATGATCTACAGAAAGGATGCAATGTACAACATAGATGCTATAAATATGCAAGCATACCATATTGTTGAGTGTAAGCATTTTTATACAATACAAACCCACCCATTTGCTAACATTGTCATTGTTTAATTCTCCTGCCCATCCCTATGATTGGCTGGTGCTGCAATGTATGGGGAGGAGACAGATTATGATTTTTTAAAAGCACACAGCATGAACATTTGTTGGATTTCACTAGCTTAAAAATATAATCCTATACATATTCTTATGTAGAAAGATGTTTGAACTCAGTGGAACTTCCCTCTGAGTAAATACGCAAAGGATTAAGAGCTATACATGACATCCTAAGCATACTTAGAAGTAAAGAAGCTCTTTGAAATCAATAGAACTTATTTCTGAAAAAGAGAATGAAGTTGATATGTTTTCAAGTAACTACAGTTACATTCCTGAAAATATGAATATAAATGCTTGAGGGAAAATAAAAAAGGGAGAGAAGTAGTACCATCAATTTCCGAGATAATTAAAACACATTTCATTTAGTTTTCAACACAATAATATCCCTTGAACTCTATGTATTCATTTAGATAAATGGTTTACAGTAATGCACATTTGGTGCATAATGCAAACATCAGGCTCAAATCCATCATTGCAAGCCTGCAAAAGAATCAATTTACAAGACCTGTGAATTATGAACGGGCATAATTAAATCTCCTTTACTGATGGTGGTGTATTTATATCCTTAGAAAATTAGATTTCATAAATTGAACTTTGTGCAATGCACCACACCTCCTATTTGTCCAACTTTAAAAGATGTGTTTCATACAAGATGCATAAAGTACAACTCAAATCAATATTATTGTTTTTAAGTTAGCTAGATACTACACAAATGTGCAATATACAGACTGCTTTATTTTAATAGAAACACATTGTGGAAGCGGGTAGGGCATCTTACATCCTTTCCTTAAATGAGAGGCTGAAATGGTAGTTTGCACATGTTCAACAGAGCTCAACGCACAGTGTTCCATTCTCTATTTAGTTTTCTTCTGATGGAACATGTGCAATCATCTGCAAGAAGTGTGGAATATTTGTGTTGATGTGAATGATGATGTGGATAACTATACTTGAAGCAAGTGCAAGTTAATGGTCCTCTTGGAAGAGAAGGTCTAGTATCTTGAAGTCCATGCATCCATACTCCAACAAATTAGAGGGGAGAGGAAGATGTTATCAGGAGAATCATGGGTCTCTCTAAGGAGGTCATTCTTCAAACACAGGAGAGAGGCACTTGGAATTACACACAGAAATTGAAGGATGAAAAATTATTCTGTAAGTTTGGAGCTACAGAATCAATTTGAAATTCTTTTTAGCACTAATGATGATGCAGAACAGCAGGTAGTGCAATAGAGCTTGTCTACAGAGAATATGCACCTCGAAGAGTCAGCACATGGAATGGCTCCTGCAAAACCATCAAGAAGGAATATGGTGATTGTAGGAGATTTTCTGTTAATACTGATACTAGGTATATAGGTATACTTGTTTTATACCTGGGGTCATGTAAAATTATCAGGAGGGAAAGGGTCACAAATGGAAAAGATTTTAGAAGTCCTGTTCTATCCCACATTTTACTAGTTCATCAAGACTGTTTCTAAAAGGTGAAAGATTTATATGATCTGAAGAGAAACCAGAGTATAGTATAGTAAAAGAAATTACTAGCCCTAGAAGGGCACGACCTCATGCAGGGATGGCATAACTACCTGTGGAGAGGGAAAGCTATGAAAGAGAAAAACTTAAAAATCACTTTATTAGGGCTGCCCTCATCCAGGTATGAGAAAAATACAAAACAAGATTTTATTCCAAAACTCCACTTTGGTTCTCTCCCAATGAAGCCAACCAGATAAGGGAGGTCTCAAGAGATAGGTGGTTAACATATAAGGAAATATTTAAAAAGGAAGGTCAAGAGATAAGGATTAAACCCATGAGGTGCTAAAAATCTATGACCCATCTCTTTCCTGGTTCTGGTACTACCAAATAAATGAAAACTACAATATAGATAATAAACTAGGCTTTGAGAAAGATGAAACCTTCTGGGACAAGGTACTAAAAGTAGATACGAAACTTATTAAGAAAATCTACCAACAACTTCTTAATTGGTTAACAGAGAAAGAACAGGTAAAGGAAAATATGGTAAAATGGGCCAGGGATATAGGTCGATCAATCAGTTTTGCCGAATGGGAAGAGATATGGTCAAGGAAGTTAAAATATACCTATTCAACTGACTTTAAAGAAAACTGGTACAAACTATTTTATAGATGGTGCCTAACTCCAGAACATCAATCGAAAATCAATAGAGAAAGAAATAATGGAAAATGTTGGAAGTGCAGGAAAGAGAAGGGAGACTTTTATCCACATGTGGTGGAAATGCAGGAAAGTTAAGTCCTTCTGGCGACAAATTCACAAAAAAATAGAAATAATCCTTCAAATAAAAATTGAACTAAAGCCGGAATATTTATTGTTAAGCATCACCAATTTCGACATGGACCAAAACACAAACAAGATCTTCTTCTACCTAATAACTGCAGCAAGAATAAAGCTGGCCCAGTTGCGGAAATCTCAGGAAATTCCCTCAATAGAACAGTGGACAATAAAAGTCCTCGATATCATGAACATGGACCTGCTTACACAAAGAATATCAC